CACTATCTCTCTACTATCTATCTATCTATCTTGCAATTGAATTGCTCCCACTTTTCGGCTTTTTTTCTTTTCTTTTTCTTTCTTTTTCCCTCAGCAGCCCCACACTCCATCTATATCCCTACCTGTCACCCGTGACACATTCTTAATACTTTTATTTTTTGGAGCTTCGACGATTATATGATGATTTTAACAATTATAAAATTCGACAAAATGATTTCATAACGGGACGGTAACATTTTTTTTTTAATTCAACTCTTGTTTATTGTCAATGTCAATTACCCCCCTTCACTTTACTCTTTTGTCAACCCGTATCTCCTCGTGTGTGTTGTGTTCTGTATAAAACCCTCTAAATCCATCCACCACCACCACCACACGCATACCCAATCCCTTCATTTTGCTCCTTTTCAATCAATTTTTTCAGGGGCAATAAAATGGCGGCCAAGGCCCAAATCGTCTCTCGCAAGAGAAAGCTCGAGGAGACTCACTTAGACGATTACGAAGTTTCTGGGTTTTTCCCTCTGAACGACCTCAATCAAGACCTCCTCGAGAGAGTCCTCTCACGGCTGCCGGCGTCCTCCTTCTTCCGCCTCACCTCCGTCTGCAAGAGATGGAAATCCGTCGCCCATTCCCCAACTTTCAACCTCGCCTGCTCCGAAGTCCGCCGCCGCGAGCCCTGGTTCCTCATGGTCCGCTCCAGACCCGACCCGACCCGCCCGACCACCGTCTTCGACTCGTCCGAGAACAACTGGAAGCAGATCAAGACCCAGCTTTTCTCCAAACCCGGCGCGGATTACATCCCAGTCGCCTCCTCCGGCGGCTTCATCTGCTTCCACCGCGCCGGCGAATTCGTCGTCTCCAACCCCGTCACCTCTTCCTCCCGCCGGATCCCCGCCCCACAAACTCCCATCCTCGCCGTCGCCTTATCCTCCACCGCCGGAAAATTCAGAATCTTGTTGATCTCCGGCGAGCTCCCGCATCTCGCGTTCAGCCAGTACCACTCCGCCACCGGCGAGTGGGGGGAAAGCATCCCCCTGACAAGAAAATCGGACGGCACCGGAGAATATTCTCCGGCGACATTAGCTGACGATGAGTGCACGAACTATTTCCTGTCCAAAAGTGGCGACATCGTCTCGGCAGACATAGAGAGAAGCCCGTCCAAGCAATTCTCGTCCATCCTCACAGTTCAAAACGGAGGCGAGATTTTGTATTTTCTGAGTTCCTCCGGAACAATAGTCTCCTGCAACCTCAGCCGGAGAATTTTCTCAGAGTACCCAAGAATTCTGCCGGTCTTGTCCGAGTACTCGATCGACTTAATCGAGTCGGGAGGCGAAATGCGAGTTGTCCTGCTTTCTGAAATTTTCGAGACCTCCAGCCTCCGCGTGTGGGCGTGGGACTGCGAAATCGAGACTTGGCGGCAGGTGGCGGCCATGCCGCCACATATGTCACACGGGTTGTTCGGGAAGAAGGCTGATGTCAACTGCACGGGGTCCGGTGGGGGAATGCTCGTGTGCGTGAGTTCGGAAGAGGCGTGTAGCAATTTCATGTGCAATTTGGAGGCGAATGAGTGGGTTGAGCTGGACAATGGGGCAGCGGACGAGTTCGTGAACGCGTTCTCGTTCGAGCCCAGGATTGAAGCTTGTGTATGGGGAAGAAAGTAGGAGTTTGTATAATTGTATGAGATTTTTTGCTTGCTTTAGGGTGTTGGATCTTTGTTTGTGTGTGTGTGACAAAGTTCTATTTTGTGTGTTGAGCAAATGAAAAATTGAATTGATTAATGTGGCCATGCTTATGCTTATTATTATTGTCGTTGTCCATTATTTAGTTTGTGTAAATTTAGTCATAGAAGAGGTCAACAAGTTCGGACCATCTCCATTAAGCTATATTAAATCAAGACAATTCAACCAAAGTGATTTGGTTGTAACAGAGAAAGTGAAGTTGACATTTCTGATTTTCAAACACATGTTAGTGCGTTTAATGGGAATAGTTGAAGAGATGAACAATTTTTCACATCTAAGATATGAGAGAATTTTGGAAATTTTTTGAAGTGTATTTCTTAGCTCATCAAACGAAAAATACAATTGTCAGGGATTAAAAACCCTCAACTCATGTTGAACAAGACGAGGACAAAAATGTCCTTTAACAATAAAATGCTAAAAATAATGAATAAGAAACAAAGCACGAGTTCTAAAGTAAAATGCGCCTAACAGCTAAAACATAAAGAACTGAAAAATATAAAAAATAAGTCCATGCAGTCCACGTCCAACATGGCCCACGTCCAACATGGCCCATGTCCAACATGGCTTGATGATAGGCTAAGCTCAACACCCCCTGCCCTCCCCCCCCTCTCCCCTCATGTGGGAATGGGGGAGGAAGCTCGCATTCTCAACTTGCCCAAGAAATAGTGAAACTCACGACCACCAAGGGACTTAGTAAAAATATCCGCAGGTTGAGTGGAAGAAGCAATGTGTTGAGGTGCAATAAAACCTGCCTTGAACATATCTCTCACAACATGGCAGTCGATATCCAAATGCTTAGTGCGCTCGTGGAAGACTGGGTTCGCCGTGATGTGTAGGGCTGCTTTGTTATCACACTAGAGAGGGATTGGGAGAGTAAGTGACAAGTTGAAGTCTGCAGCTAAGTAAGAGAGCATTTGAGCTCACAAACCGTGGTGGCCATAGAACGGTACTCTGTCTCGGCCGAGGACCGATAAACTGTCTTTTGCTTTTTTGTTTTCCAGGAAATCAAAGCTTGCCCAAGGAACACACAATATCCAGTAAGTGATCTCCTGGTTAGGGTGCAGCTACCCCAGTCTACATCACAGA